TTTCTTTTTAGAAGAAAAGATTATGTATTATATGATGAACTGGTCGAAAATATATGGTCATCTCGTTTTGATATTAATGAAGATCTAATTCATCATATTTGTATTCATAGTACAAATATGATAAAAAAATCCATTGATCATTTTCCACATGCTACTAAACTTACATTTTGTGAAACATTTGAAGTACCTCGTAATTTAATTATCATTGATTTGATTCGTCTTCTTCCATTGAAACAATTGACTAGCCTAACTATTGAATGTCATTATTTTTCTTTTGAACAATTAATTGAACTTTTACAATTTACACCTAATGTTCATGTATTAAAACTTGATTCTATATTACTTTATCGAACTGATTCTGTTTCAATTCAACAAAACGAATTATCAAAATTGGTATCTAATATGAATACTATAACAAAGGTAACAATTAGTAAAGAAATTACGTTAGAAAAAATTCAATTACTTACTACTGTTTTTCCTCGAATGGAATATCTTACTATTAATTTATATAAACAAGATTTACAACCAATAGCTCAATTTTTATTATCAAAATCTAATAATAATACTCGTTATTTATCCTCATTATGTATTTCAAAGCAACGTAATGATCTGATGACAATATTGAAAACTTTGATTAAATCAAAAAAACTTCTTCATGATTATACTCTCAAAGTTATTAATCGAAAATTGTATTTATGGTGGTAAAATTAATTTGTTAAACAGATATCTTGATTTTGAATATAGTTTATTTTTTGAATAAATATGAAAATTAATTGTTAATATACGTTTCTAGGTTGACTAGTAGAAAAATGAAGATATTTGTGATAGAACGAAAAATCTGTTTATTATATCGAATAACATTCACTAATGATAAAATAGATGTCATAGAGTAACTGTAATTGAGAATTAGTAAACTATGATCATCTTATCTATTCTAATTTAAGAGGATGAACGAAAATTAAGAATTTTCATATTAGTACATGCTTATAATTCGAACAACAAAAATGAATTTTTATCAACTTCGTGTATTTATATAAAAGTAGGCAAAGTATATCGTGCGAATAAGTGTCCTGTTTATTACCACTATTCCATTCGATTCTGACGTACATGGTTAATATGATGTTGTATAGTGACTAACATAACTCTTTGAAGTAGCGGTGAAGAGGACATTTTAAATACAATTCTTTTTTGTCATTCGACGCATAACTTTGTGTATTAAATAACTATAATCATACGAAACTATATGTTTATAAACTTTAAGAGACAATAATAGAAGTTCGAACAGTATCTTCCAGATCAGATCATTGTAACAAATTCATTCAAAGGAAATATATTTCTTCATAAATTCGATCAAATGGGATTATCTGCTTAGAAGAGAACGTTTTCAACTGTCTAATCAATTTTTTGGATTTGGACTCTATGCATAAGGTAGATCTTGATGAGATATGAAAAACTCCAAATGGATAGGTGCCCTTAGGCCTTTTGTTCAGAGTTATAGTCATTTTACTGAGATTTTAGTCTATGGCATGGTATATACCAAAAAAATCGAATGGCGATATTTCGATCTGAGTTTTTACTCACAGACAGATCTATTTGTGAATAGGATGCCATGAAAATTTCAGCTCAAAAGAATGTTTCCTTCCCGACATATAGTAGTCAAAACAAAGCTGCTAGTGCAATCTCTGCGAGATTAATATGTGAAACACGATATACCTATTATGTAAATCCGAGTATAATACTTCGTCATTATTCCTTACTTTGTGCCATAGAACTTCAACAAGTACATATTTCAGAGATATTTTAACTAGACTTAGGTTATACATGGCTTCTGATAGTACCCTGTAGAGGGTGTAGGTGTGTGGAAGTGTGTTTCTAATTATACCCACACCCACCCTGGAGGGTGTAGAATTGAACGTGGACGTTGGTATAGAGGTAGGAGTCGGTGTCGGTATCGACATGCATATGGGTGTGAGTTCGGGATCAGCGGGGTATCACTACGGATACCATGTCAAGCACAATCCACACCCGATACAGAGCACACCCACACCCACCCAAGATAGCCTGTATATCTTCACTGTATCTGGAATACACAGAACCAGCTTTTCCTCCTTGCTATCCGAAAATATAAATATTTTTTTTATAATTTTCTCGACTTTGTCAATAAAAAGAAAGATGAAATTTTCCTCTTTCATGGAAGGCACAACTATTCTTCTTTTTCATCACTGAATGGTCATTATAAGAGCTATGGATTAGTAATAACCGAAAAGTTTTCTTTCTAATGAAAGAAGAAAATTTTATGTTTTCTCGTTGCTGATCTCAAGAAAAATATAGAAGGAATATCTAAGTGAAAGGATACTTTTTTTGACTATCTATAGATGCCTAGGATTATTAGCGTGAAAGTTTCTCTGTCAATTGGCAATGACTCACGTCTGTGCAATAGCGATCCTCTTCTTGTCAACCTTAGTTGCCTCCACCATTGGTGCAGAAACCTGCTATTGGACAAAATGTAGTTCATTTAATGAGGCATCATGCGCCGCAGGCGATATCGAGAAAAAAAAGTGGGACAAATGTTGTGATGTGAGGATCATTCGCAATCAGAAACGACATTTTTGCTGTTATCCAAAACGATGTGCTTATCGTTCAGAATGTATTCCGGTTGCATGTACGAGCTGTCCTGAATGTCCACCTGGTCAGCAGAAGTACCCGAATGATTTTGGAACGGGGCCGCAAGAGTGTACGATAAATGTCAGTGGCTTTGAATTCAAAGGGAAAAGAATTGGTGTTGCAATCCCTAATAACAAAGTTGAATATTAACACCTCTGACTAAACTATCTTTTTCTATTCACATAGTTTATTCAGCATTATTTCTGTTGTTCACTCCGTTCGTGCTTTTCAGATATATTTTTTCGTAGATTACTGAACACTCTACGTAATAATGTAACAAGGTCAATAAAAATGTCCTAAACAGTTTTCTCATCAATGTGAGTCACCGAAGGTTTCTGATCTTTTGCCACATATATGTCAATCCTGAAAGTTGACTTAACATATGACATATCAGAATGATTAAATAGTTAAATAGTTGCAAAACACTTCAATAACTGAATTCAACTTTCAGATTTGACATCAATAGTAGTTTCCTGGAAATTTCCTTGAGATGTGGGTGTGGATGTTAAAAGGACAAAGTCAATACTGGCACCCACCTTCACCTTCACCGACACCCACACCCTCTTTTTCGATTTATGACGTACTTCATTCTGTATTTCAATATACAGACCTTTTCGACATGTCTATTACGATTTGTGAGGCAGACGAGGATGGGAGTGGTATCAGTTTTCTCGCTCTATATTTTAAAAACAACTTTGCCTACCAACCACATCCAGCAGAAAGGCGTGCATCAATCTGTATGAAGAATTTCTGAAGAGAAATCTGCTGTTCACAGCGAATCACCACAATGTCGAGCATTCGATGGCTGAAATATATTACTTTACTATAGGATTGAATGCAAACTAATCTGCAGATGCACTCGATCTGCTATTGAGTAGAGAACAAACAAAATGTGAAATTGAATTTTCTTTCAAAAAAAAAAAGGGTAAGCAGTAAGAAGCACTTGTACGAGTACATTTATATTTGACATCTTGTCAACAAAAAAGATGTGTACACTTGCCTATAAAGAAAGACAAAAGGCGTCCATTTCTTGCAATACCTTTGACAATTTGATTGCAATAATGACAGATCGAATACTAGAAGAAACTCAATTAAGCGATCGTCGCTCTCCAGTAGTTAATCGACCTGAGTTAACAGCAAGTTTTTCGTCTCGTCCACCGGTATCTGTGCTGAGTGTAACGAGATTAACACGTATCCGTCGTCATCGATCGCTCGAAAATAAAGTGAGCTCTTGATGATTTGTTAATGCAATCTTTGATTCACAGCCATTCTAGCATACTCAATCATCGACAACAAAAGGGCGACCCATCATGGTCATTAATGCCAGAATCCGGTCACCAAGAAGAGCTCATCTTATAAACAACCAATCTGTCAATTCCAACGAAAATGTGGTTTCGGTCAGATTTGTTCGAGATTGAACCTTGTTTGATTTTTTTTCTTTCCAAACAGCTCTCAAAATCAAAGAAACTATCCGCCACTCAAAGTTTGGCCGATCGATCAAAAAGACCAACGCATTCTGTCATTGTCACTCCTATTCGTCGACGTCATCGATCACTATCGCACGTAAGGAAGAGAATATGTTATTCGTAGCGCAAGTTCTCTTGGTTTTCGTGATAGCCTCGTCGATGTTTATCGGAGAACAATGATTCGAACAAAAACTCGTCACTCAGAAATAGTTTTTCATCAACAAGTACAAGAAACAAAATGACTCAGAAGCGAACATACACATTTGGGTCTATGTCATTACGCAAAATAAACTCGTCCAAAGTGACTCCCAATGAGGTTATGTCTTATCTCCTCATACATTCAAACATGACAACATTCTTTTCGTAGGAATTGTACACAACTAATCGTAGTGGTATCAAAGTAAGAGAATTTTGGTTATTCTTCTTTGCACGTCTTTTGGTTTTTACAGGCAAAAGATGTTTCTTCATGGTCGGATCTAAAAGAACTGACACAAGATCATCGTCGAAACCAAAATCAAAAGAAAAAGAATAAGTGAATTGCTTTTCCAAATTGTTGTACATAAATTCATATTTTTCGTAGATTCTGTGGTCCATATTCACGCCGATGCGTATTCATATCTCTATTTATTGCTGTTCTTGTCGTCATTGCGATTATTGCAATTCTACTCGCCATTTTAATCAGACCGAAAACAGCGACAAAAACAACAAGTAAGAACTCATTCCTTTTGCTTCTATTTTATTTTTCTGTTGCAATAACAATTAGAATAGTTAATTAGAAATTTTGGAAGAAAAACGAAGTGACAGATTCATTGCTTGAGAATGAAAGTATTTTTCGGATAGTGAACACATATCGGCTATTGTTTTGAAATTATGGAACACTATTTTTGTGTAGTAGTTAGTACACCTTTACTCCGATGGAATCCACTCGGTATCACTATAGCCGGCACGGTAGGTATACCAGGTGCAACTGCCAATCAGTTGAACACTCCGGTTGGCTTATTCGTGGATCCATTCAATACACTCTATGTTGCCGATTGGCTTAACCACCGCGTTCAAGCATGGAGGATGGGTGCGTCGAACGGTTCGACTGTAGCAGGACGAGCAAATGGAACAGGAGGCATGTCTTTGTCTGAACTGCAAAATCCTGGCGATGTTGCTCTCGACTCAAACAATAACATTTATGTTACTGATGTATCGAACCAAAGAGTTCAGTTCTGGACTAACGGTGCATCTTCGGGTATCGCAGTTGCTGGCATTACAGGTAAGAAATCTTGAAATTTATGCCAACTAGCATCGAAAATTGATATATCTTTCAAAATTCCATGGCGAAGAACATAAAAGAGAGTTGTGATCTGTAACATGAAATATCTTTATCAGATTTTTTCAGCAATATTTCTACATAAAACCTGAGAATATCTATGAGCCTGTTTAAAGGTTCTGCCGGCTTTGCAAATAATCAGCTTAACATGGCCTATAGTCTTACAGTGGATCCAAACTCCGGTGCAGTGTACATATCGGATACGGGAAATAATCGAGTAATGTTTTATCCATCAGGCGCCTCTTCGGGTACGATAGTGGCAGGCAACGGTACAGCAGGATACGGCACTACACAGTTGCAAAGTCCACTTGGTCTGCATTTTGATTCCTTCACCAACAGTCTGGTGATCGCTAATTATGCTGCGAACAATGTAGTTCGATGGCTTTTAGGAGCTAGTAATTGGACACTGATTGCTGGAGATATCAATGGAGGAAAGGGAAACAACTCGACACTCTTGAATTTCCCCTTCGATGTGACAGTCGATCCAATGGGTAATGTGTATGTGGCTGATACATTCAACAATCGCATACAATTCTTCTTGGCTGACCACACCAATGGTACAACAATTGCTGGTATAACTGGCATCAGTGGCTCGAACTCTACGTTGCTCAATGTGCCATTGTCCATAGCACTTGACAGTCAACTCAATTTGTATGTATCAGACTCATACAATCATCGAATACAAAAGTTTTTACGCTATTAAATCAAACATCCAATTGTATCGACGACATATATACTGAGAACTCTTTTTTTATTCATGCCTCTTTTCCATGTTTGATTATCTTGGTTGCTTTGAATCAGAATCAGATGAAATATTGACATGTTTTACTATTTGATGCAAAATTTGTTGCTTCTAATCTGAGTTTGATGAGGGTGTGGGGTGTGGGTGGGTGTGAGTGTGGGGTGTGTGGGTGTGGGTGTGTGGGGTGTGTGAGTGTGTGGGTGTGGGTGGATGTGGATGTGGGTGTGGGGGGGGGGGGGGGGGTGGGGGTGGTCTGGGTGGGTGTGGTTGTGGATAAGAAGTCTGTGAGAGGATGACTCATACCCCAGCCCCGCATCCCAAACCCAGACACGAACCCCAAAATGTAGAAAAACAGATGACAGAAAAATGGTTTTGAATGATTTTATGCTTTAAGATGATCCTATTGTCAACGATCTGCTGTTTTATTCTGGATTTTTCCTAGATGTCGATCCTCATACGATGATACTATCATCGATAAGCAACTTGACATATCGTCATTGAACTTTGATAAAAAAAGTTTTTTTCGTATTGCAACAAACTTCGATCAAATGATCTCAAAATGGATGTCTGTCGGTGTAAGATCAACCGCTTTGTAAAATTCTATTAGATAGATAAACTTTCAATGAATTGAATTTTCTTCTGCAATGCACTTCAATGAATTCTTTCTTACATTATGTTAGAGTAGTATCATGAACATGTAGTATTCATCTTCAACTTTTACTGTCCAAACTATTAGATAATAGCGAATACGTTTTATTTATAAATGAATTAGAAAAAGCAGTATTAGTGATATATGCTTCGGATTAGTTCGTGTTAATGCTAGGAAATTAAAAAGGATTTTAATACTCCATTGATCAATAATTACATCGTTTTAAGAAGAATGCGATGGAAAACTAATAGACTTTCTTGGAAGCTTTGTCACGATTATACTGTTACTTTTATGTAAATTGATATTCGTGTTAAGCGGACTAGCGTTTGAGTAAACTCGTTTTGGCTGCATTTCGATGTGACTTTTGTTCAAATTGATGATTCTTATTCTTCGAACACTTAATGATTGAGTTCGTCGACTTTCAACTGATTGATTTCGTGGTATTTTGATAACTTTGACTTGATTGAATTTCGATGATTTATGTGATGATGCACTTGACGGCTCTTGTTGACTTGCGACCGAATTGTTCCGGCTTGTTTCATTTAATTTTGGTACTAGGACAACCGTAACTGCTGAACGAGGAATGATTTCAGTATTTTCATATTTGTCAAGATCGCTTCCTGAGTTCCTGTGACCATTTTCGATTTTATTGAGTTTGTAATTGTTATTCAGTTGTTCAATGTTAGACTGCTTAATTCTTTTAATAGAAACTGTTGATGGTACTCTATAATCTTCCGTATCTGTCATAGTAGTTAGTGTTTCAGAAAAATTCGAGTCCAACAAGCCCACAGGCAAGTATGATGGGAAGGTATTGTTCAATTTTTCATATGGATGCACTGAATCATAAATCGGACAATCCTTGCCTGACATATTTGGTTTAAACGTTTCTCTAGGAACAGCTTTGCCTTGTGATTTATCAATTATGAATCTTGACTCAAAAGGTTGTTCATCGATATCTTCTTTATTTTTTTTCCGTCGACGACGTCGTGCACCAGCAATCCTATTTGAAAAAAAAACCAACTATGTATCAGTTTTCTTTTTAAAAATCTTTTGTAATTTTCTGAGAATCATGTGCTCCGACCGTGATATGTCGATAATTGGTCTCTGACTAACCATCTACAGATAGAATACTGGCAATTGGGCGAACAGATGTGTGATACGAGTTTTACACAGTTAAATAAGTTTCTTATTTTTCGATAAGTGAGAACTTGTATTAGAAGTATTTTAAAAGTATATTATGAATAAGTTTTGTTGTATTAGAGTAGTTTTAAAATCATGATACTTACCATAAACATCTACAAACACAACAGGAAACACAGCATGCAACTAACAACATAGCCAATAATGGCAGACCCAAAATCAGCCACCAATTTATTGATGATCCTATGTAAATGTAAGTATTTTTATTTAGAGTAATTACGTAAAATCAATACCAAGAGCATGAGAGTCAAGTTGTGAATATATGTATGGAAATTTCGAGATATTTCAAACTCAACTATTGATCGATGTGAAACAATGTCAAAATTTCTAGTTCAGTGCTATATGAGCTATTTTCCGACCTTTAAAGATTGTTCAACAAACTTAGCTTTCTTGAAAGAACTGTTCTAGTCCCATTGATGCTTGTATTCTAGAATGTTGAATAATGCTTGGGAAAAATATGCCAAATCTTGGTCTAAGCCAATCTACTACGACTTAAGTTTGGAAAAAATCGAATTTTTCTTACCTGGAGCCTTTTCTGTTGTTGTCGTAGCGGTAGTTCTAAAAAAATAAAAACGATCAGAAAATAAATTCTATTATTGTTATATTTTGTATTTAAGAAACTCAGATAATTCATACATGTAAACAACATATATGGCAAGAGTGTGATTGTACTTTCTTTTTGTTCCGCGACTATTGTCAATAGACGCAAGCAGTGAGCATCAAGTATTATTTGACGAAGGTTTCTATGAATAATACTGAAGCTTAGTACAGATTCTTAAAGTAGAATTATGATGCACAAAAACTGAGGAAGAGTGACAACGATGTACTCACTATTTAAAAGTCTGTTTTGATAGAGACATTCCTTCTGATTACTTACACAGTTGTAGTGGTTGATGTTGTTGTTTTTGTACTTGTAGATGTTGTGGTTGTTACACAGACATCAGATGAATTTTTCACAGTAAATGTAACACAATATTGATCAGATTCTAAATTTTCACTAATTAACAAAACAAGAAGAGTCTACAAGCATGAAAAGTCAAGCAAAAGAAATTTTACGTTGTAAATGCAATTACACATAGTTGTTTTGATCCAACTTGATTTGCCTGTGGTGTCCAAGCGAATGTGACGTAGGAAACTGATGAATTTGTTGGTGAACTTGTCAGATTATCTCGAGTCATACCAGTAATTGCACTTGAAATAATTATATCAGCAAGTTTAGCCACAGTCTGATTACATAAATCCATTATAGATAGATTGAAACTGATGGAGATGCCAACTTGTACTTCTAGACAACGGCTTAGAGGGAAAATTATGGGTGCATCTGAACAAGCAGGTTGTGGTTGAACATAAATCAGCATTTGAACTGGTACTGAACTCATCGGTGTCGTACTTGTTGAATCGATAAAATCTTCAACCTTTAGTGCAATAGATGATTATCCTATACTATATATTAATAGTAGATAATGCCAGAAACAACTTGATAGCTTTTTACACTTTTATGAACATCGATTTTTCTCTGAAAGTTCATTTCTGACACAAAAGTGGGAATTGGTTTTTGTTGACAAGTAAGAATGAATTCGGTATGGTTCAATATAGAGAGTTTTCTAATTAACTCATGTATGCAAGAGTGAAATACTGTTCTCAGTGATCAAGAATTAGAATCTACTAATATTAATCATAATTGCTCCGCAAATAGAAATGATGGAATCGCTAAGATCGGAGAACGAGTAATGTATGAATAACAATCTTCTTACCTGAATTGCAACAGCATACCAGACACCAGCTTTATCACCTGTGAATGTGATCGTGCAATTGGACAGGGTTGTACCAGTAGGCACCCTATCTGGATAACATATGTCGGCACATTCGTCAATTGCTTGACGAATTGGATATGTTGAAGTCGATTTTAGTGTTCCTACAGTTTCGAGTGTAGTTGAACTCATTATGGAGGTACTAACTGTAGTCAATGTTGTTGCACTGGTTGCACCAGTTGTAGTCATAATTGCTGTACTGGTTGTACTATCTGTAGTCGATATTTTTGTTGCTACGCTATCGCAGCATGTACTTGCACATTTTATGCCCGTGCATAAGGTATTTTGGCACTCAATAGCGGTACACAACTTGCCTGAACTACATTGACACGTCTGTCTTTTTTTTCGTGTATTGATGATTTCATTATTATCATTTTGGGTTTTGTATCTGTGATCAGGTTGATGTTGATTTTCGTGGTTTTCTTCATCGTTCGATCGTTTCCGTCTTCGATATCCACTTGTAAATGTTGACCATCGACAACGTACATCATCTCCAGCATTGGCATCCGAAACAGGAATATTAATTTTTATTGTTTTATTTACAAAGGTATATTGAGGAGAAACAAACTTGACCACAGGTGGAGTATTTATGAAACCATCCGGTCGTTTACGAAGATCAATATATGTTACAATAGACCATTCAAGACCTCTTTGAGCAGGATCGTATAATGGTACCCAAGCACTTCCTCTATAAGCTATATAAAAATGTGCTTCAGCCGCAAGTGTTTTAGTTTTCGTTCCTTCACTTGTCATCATTGAAAATGATGAACTAGCTGATACACAATCAGTGAGGATATTAATTGGTGAACTAGAATATCCACCATCGGTTGAACAGTCCACAACACAACTTAGATTTGTGTTGGCACCACCAAATCCAGTCGTTGTGATCGGTACATTGTTGGTACATTGTATATATGGATACCCTAGAGAATATACTGAGTTAAGGGTACCCAAAAAAGTACCCTGATACCAGTATGTCACAGGAACTTTTGGGTACCAAAGTACTTGCAGGTACTTATAGGTACCTAAGTGGTACTTTGGCAAGTACCCTGCTGGAAAATGCACAGTAATTGGGTACCTAAAGGTACTGATCAAGTACTGAATTGGGTACCATTGTATAGTATTTCTAAGTACCCTGTTACCAAATTTTCAGTATGTTCAGGATCGAACCTGATCTTTGACTTTAAAAAATTTTTTTTTGTTTTTCTTGAGATAATTTACTAGATTTTTTTTACTTTATTCAATTTAATTTTTTCAATTCCAAAAACTTAGCAGGAACAATGTCGGGATCCGACCCAACTTGAGTTGGTCGTAGACCTCTTCAGGGTAGTCCGATCTTAATTTACGACCAAGCTCGGCATTTCCTCGACTAAGAAATAGTCAAGAAATAATTTAGAAAAAACTAGTATGAAAATTGATTATTTTCTTATGATTTATCGAGTTGTTTATATAGAGCCGTTCGTAAAAAAGAAAACGGTGAATGAATAGTCGCCACACAGAACGCGAAAAATTTAGGATACCCTGTCGAGATTTCCTCAGTAAAGTTACAGACTTGTGTATCCATGCAGGTACTTATTCAGTGAATGTACTTTTGCGGGTACCCCAAACAGTACATACATCAGTAAAATTACTGAGAATTTTCAAAGTACCCATATTGGGTACCCTGCTAGAGCTTTCTCAGTACATGGGTACCCTGAACTCAGTACTTTCTCTAGGGTATGTCCATGAATAAAACTGTGTTATAGTAATATCAACTGAACTGTCATTATCATATGGATCGACAGGAGCCCATCTGATAGTTCCTCCATTGAAGTGTTTTCCATCAATACCAACGTATGAGCAGAACAATATCAAGAGACCTACGTACATTGTTCGTTCCTAATTACATCAATCAAAATTTACCAAACCAAATATCTTCAAGAATAAAATTTGATGAAAAACAACTGTTAATCATTAGTCATTAAAACTCATGAATTTATAATGTCTATGATAAGTAGAGCGTGGAATGGGGGAGAAGTGTTTCGCAACGAGATACTTTCTCCATGTATGAAAAATAGAGATTAATGTTTTGATAAGTTGTGAAATAAGATGAATTATTAACAAAAGGAATATTGTTCATCCGAACAAAACTGCTCAATAAGAGTAGGAATTAATGGTTTGTATGTAATATTATTAACTAAGCAAGTAGTATGCTCTTTAGATTCTATTCTCTTAATATTATAAGACATGAGACACAACTAGACCTATTAATGTTGAAGAATAATTTACTTTACAACTTATTCTCTCAAAAACTATTTCACAATAAAAATTCAATATAAGTACTAATACACAGTTAACAATTTTCTAACTCATAGATTCTCACCATTGCGTAGATATCAACGACACGAATTTCTGTACATGCAAACACAGTTCTTATTGCCATATTATCAATCGTACCTGAATACTGTTGTTGCTTGCCGAGATGACTGTAGTGTATGGGGCGTATAAAAGATGACTTTTTGTTGCTTTTGCTTTGTTTTGACAATGTTTGTCGTGAAAATAAAACATATTTTTTTTAAATAAAGAAGTGAATAGAATTTGCGAGCATCTGTATGTTATATTATACAAAACCGTTGTAGTAATGATTATTGTTTATGTTATTTACTAGTTGATTTATATTCAATCAGGCCTTGATGTTTTTTACCAGTAGTCATCAGGAATACATAGCTGCGTATTATTTAATTGATTCATTGTGAATAAATGTGAGTGCACTTTCAGTAGGTCAAGATACGAAATTTGAACGCAGACTGCTTATAAGAAAAAAAAAGTTCTTTTTATAGACTTTTATATAATTTTGGTTATTGAAGCGAGTTTTTCAATTGAAAAGATTTCTTGAATGCTATCGGATTTTAAAAAAATTAATATTCATAAGAGTGAATTATTGTTAAATTGGATAACAATTCTGCAATCTGTTAAATATGAATAGATATGTTGTCTGTGAGATACTGAGAAGTATTGAATTACTTAATGTGCTTTATTTATGACAAAATCATATTGATAGTCGTGTTGCAAAAAATATTACTGAAATTGAAATTTCATGTCACTGATTAGTGTGATCTTCTAGTTTATCGATATTTTCTCATCATGCGTAGTTTTCTAATACGTTTACAATATTGTCATAGATACTTTTTTCATTCTTTATAGTTTTTACTTTTCTTCAAAGGTTTATTTACTGCTTTACTTTGCCCTCTTATTAGGATTTCTTTTTTCAGACATCATTTTAACAACGAAAAAAATATGTAGTGATTGACAATTTTTTCTGATTCAAAACAATAAACGGATTTGTTTATTTATAGAAAAGTTTTTAATTAATTATATATTATATTCATACGTAGATTCAATTTTTTTTTCTGTATGATTGTTTACATAGTTACCAAAACTGACGTTGAAATAATCAAATTGAATAAACTTGAGGATGTGGGTGTGTCGATGTCAGTGTCTGACATGGTAAAGAGAAGAACACCCACACTCACATCCACCCACACCCCGCACCCATACCCTGTGGGGTCTGAGCGTATGGTTTGGGTATTTTAGTCAACCAAACACACCAAGACTCACCCACACTCCGCATCGACCGACATTTCAAAGTTAAAGTGACATATAATAATCAAACGGCTTATCCTCATTTTTTTCTGATGTTTTACTTATACATGATGAATATTCTAATGCTGATCATTAGCGTGTCTAATTATATATGCTTAAGTTGATGTGCTCATGGTTTCAATTTTCATCAAAATGATTAATCATTGATTATTTTGATTTTTTAGTTTTGAATTTATTTAATAAAGCTTCGTTAGTGAACTGGAAGATTTATTTAGGCAAATATATTTTTAAAAATTTTAGTTGAAAAAAGGGATTGTGTCGAAAAAAATATATTGTTCTTGAAAACAATAATTATTTCTATTTTTGTTTTTTCGAACAGAATATATTAAAAATACATTGATAACAACAAGTAATAACCATAAAAATATAACACAGTATTAAATAAACAAATGTAAACTTATATAAAACAGGATGACAATAATTATATGTATAAAAATTATTAGTTGTATCATATTCATGTGTAACTTGCTTATTAATAAGAAATGTCCATACACTTCCGATAATAAGCCAAATAAATGAAAAAATCCCGCTAAATAGAATAATTATGGTTAAAATAAATGGAAGAATTAAAGACAATAAGGAACGAAGAGAAGTAAGAAAAATAGTTACGACTGAAATAATAATATTAAGAGTTATCAGTGCTAAAGCAACACTTCCCGAAACAATTAGAAAAAGACTAATACGAGGTTCAATTGGACAATAGCGTGGATCACGATAACGTGTGCCAATAACAAGTAAAATAATTGGTACAGCAAGCAAAATAATCAACCAGACAAGACCGAATATTGATGTTGCTGCAACAGCAGTAACTATAAGAGCGATCCAAGATTTTAATTCAGTTTTATCTAAAGGATTACGATTAGCTCCATTAGCTGAAAGTAATTCATCTAACGCTTTGTATTTCATCTCACAGTTAGACTTTCACCTGAAATTTTATATTCAACTTAGTGAAATAATTGACATTCTGTCCTACGAAAGAATTACCGAAAGAGAATAATTATTCATTCATTCAAAATAAAAATACTGATCAAAGCTGAAGACAAACAACATGCACTCTTCTTAATGGAACATGAGAGCAAAAAAGTTTTTTTGCATCAATGCTTAAGTAAGAGAACAGCTTATTTTTCTTTCATAAAAGCTTGGCATAATGTGAAACGAAAAGCATCGATTTCTTTTTTACGCTTTATCAACGAAGAAAAATTTATTTGTATAGAGCAGTGGCACTGACGAGATTACCAATAAGCTTACCTCTATTCATAGAAACAATCAAAAAAAATTTCTATTTAACGAAGATTAATTCAAATTGAATTTAAATTAACATAGATTGAATTTTTATTTAAAATCAATGAAAACCATTTAGAATTTATTTCTCGATTAAAAAGACTGTCGCATATTTAAATGGCTTATTCCTATTGACGATATTCAATAGTTGTTCTTTCTACTATACGAAATGATTTAATTCTTAGAGAACAACTCCAAATATTTATTTATAAATACATACGAATATATGTATCGATTTTTCACTTTAGCTCATTCATTTATAAAAATTTCTAAACTTACAACTATTCGATGAATGTTCCATTAATACGACTAAATTAATAAACATCGCTTCAATATCATTCATAAAAGATAATTTATTTACATATATATGTACTTTTTATTCTTCATAAATCAATGGATAATAATTGATTTTATTTGAAATTCTATCTTCTGTTATTTATTTGAATGAACAAAAGACTTGATTGAGGACAACTATTTGTTCAAATGTGAAATTAATATTATTGATCTCAAGTTGTATTCTATAAATAGTCATTTAGATTTCATCAAATATTAACAATTATTTACTGATCATACGAAAACCATAGAAATTTCAACTGTTGTCTATTTATATACAAAATAATAATTTAGTTCTAATAGTTCGATTTATTGAATTGTTAAAAAAATATATATACATAATGTTTTTTTCTTCATACTTCGTATCATCAATTTTCATTTATTTTACTTTATAGAATAATTGAATATTTAGATAAGTTTTGAAAGCTAAACTAAGTATATACAAAATTACAATAGATTGAAATAATTAAGCAACTATTCATTATCAATCATAAATTTGTTCTCATATATGATGGGTGTGGGTGTGGTTGTGGGTGTCGTTGTGTTAGTGTGGGTGTCAGTGAGGATGTCAGAAAGAGGAATACCAGCATCCACACACCCACACCCAAATATTCGTCAAAATCTACTCGTACTAGTCGTCGTTTTGCAAGAAAACATAAGGGTGTGGGTGTGGGTGTGGGCGTGGGTGAGTGTGGGTGGATGTGGGTGTGGGTGTGGGTGTGTGTGGGGTGGGTATGGGTGTGCCTTAAGAAACACTTGTCACCCACACCCCACACACCCACACCCACACCCATACCCACATCCCACACATCCACACCCATACCCACATCCCACACATCCACACCCCACACATCCACATCCACCACCCACACCCGACGATCACTACGACTGGAATTTTTTAAAATTATTAGAAAAAGAAACCAAAATAGTTATGTTCAGTTAATTACCGTTTGCAGAGTAGAACGGCACATATGACGATGAAAAGAATGCCAGAGAGAAGAATAACAAGTAAAATTAAGCCAGTATTGTCTAATTTACAAAATGGATTTCTTTATTTGAATCGTAAAAGTCCGATTCAACTTACTCTGTCGTTGATTATCTAGAATAAGTTCAACTACTTTTTGTTGAATTGCAGTTGTAGACTCATCATCAGAAAGAACGTTCAAATTCGTAGTGTTATTATTTTTACTATTAGTAGTGGTCGAGAACGACGAACCGGTGTGACTAAAAGACACATGATAAATGATTCTAGATCTACTCCTAGCTGTCTGTTATGATATTATTAAAATTAATCTTTGCATAATCTCAGCAGTTGCAATATGTAGATGATATCTGTTTACAGACAACGATCAGAGAAAACATGCGATTATCGAGAAATCGTTCGACATTATTCAATATTTTTCAATCGAGAATTGTACCTTCAATAGGTAATATTGAGACTAGATTACTAGGTACGATAATATGGGATGCGACATTTTGTTTTTGAGTGATGATCATTTGACTGAATCTTCTTCTCTTAGCCAAGCTCTTTTGAAAATATTAAATTTTGGCGATTTATTAGATAACGTTTCCAGTATGTTCCAGTACATTCGTTTTCTTCCTTTCTTTTTTGTATGAATCTTGTATGCTCTCTTTCTAGTACTGTTTGGTAAGTGTTGAATTCTCTACTATTTTCTAGCAAATTCTTTTGCTTTCGATTTTCTATATATAATTTATATACAACTGTTGCTTGAAACAATAAAGTTGATTATACAGACGCGATAAGATAAAACTTCTGTTTGACTGATAACTGGTGCCTGGTTGACTACCTCTACAGATTTAATCTAAAAACATGTCGATAGATAGATCTAATTTAAATTTAAAATGTCTTGAAAATATTAAAAAAAGAACACATATCTATCTCAAGTTAAAACATTAAGAAGACCTGGTCAATCGTCAAACAAGAGACATGATGTTCGATTTTTTTTCGTAAGCTCAATATCTCAAGAGAGATACATTCATTTCTGTTGAAACTGAATGGGTGTACGCTGTGGATGTCGATGTAGGTCTTCCATTCGGCAAAATCCACTTGCACTCTCAACGTACTTTTTTGACTTAGTTTGTGGAGTTTTCAAAACCACATCGAAATGTATAAAATTCAAAATATTGAAATCCTATTCGCGTGTCTAAAAATGGTCAACAATGTAATGTACACTCGGCTAATACAAGAGCAAGATTTTCAGAGACTTTTGATCAACACTGTATGTGTTTGAATTTCAACTCATAATATCAGGTCTAGGGGCACCAAAACGTGTGAAATGCTGTGATCAAGCGCACTTTTTGGCTTCGAATGTTGGACAAAGATTGATTGACTCCTCCTACTTGTTCGCAATATTGACGAGTGTTTTTCATTCTCTTTATTGTCCTTCACTCGGTGATAAGAACGGCAAATGGTGATATGAATAATAACCTTCTTTTTCTTTTACACTAGTCTTTATCTCTGTCTAACCGAACATGTTTCTTCTACTGACTGTCAGCATAATCGTTTTATTAATCTTATATGTAAAGCTCAAATATTTTACTCTTCGTGGGCCTATACCTGGTCTGGCGCCGCATTTTCTATTCGGAAATGTAATTCAATCGGGTCAATTACTAAATGGTGTATCTCTACCGCAAGTCTGCTCGAAATTCAAGCTTCGTTACGGTGATATTTTTCAATTTTGGTTTGGTCCAATACGCTTCATTATGGTCAGTGGTATCACCGATGTACAACACATATTTACTCATCGAAATGTATACGAGCAAGGTGATATTTATATTAAACAATTTGGTATTCTTACTCCAAATTCGCTCATTTTGGTCAAAGGTAAATTTCGATTTTTATGTCAGAAATAAAAAAAAAACTAATATTTCTTCTTGTCTGTGACTAGGAGCTCATTTCAAACGACATGCCACTATTACTCTACCACTATTTCGTCGTGGAAAGATCACGAACAATATTGATTTAATTGTTGATTGTACTGACAAACTTTTGGCCAATTGGCGTACTAGACCTAATAAGCATGTTCATTGTGATATTGTTCAACAATGTCAAAATTTGATGCTCCAAATTTTTGGTTTGATCGGATTTGATTATGATTTGGAAATGCTCGACGAACGTGGTTCAGATCAAAATGAACTTGGAAAAGCACTCTTTGATCTATTAAAAGCAGCTGAATTTATCATTTTTGCACCAACTTTTATGGGCAAACTTTATACAACATTCAGTGGTCGACATCGAAGAGCAAAAGCAATTATTAAAAAATATCTTTATAAAATGATTGAAAATGAAATGGCCTAAAGTGAAGAATCGAGAGCACAACGGAAGAGAACATGTTTGATTGCTTCACTCGTTGCTTCACTACAAAAAGACGAAGAAATAGAAGCAAGAAAGAGTGACGAAGAGAAAAAAGGTATGGTTAATTCGAATCATTGTTGATTTGCAAAAAAGAAATTTCGAAATTTTCCAAACATGAATATTAATAGAAAACGAATGTGTTGGGAGGCTTCTTTTTCATGAAACAAGATTGCAGCGTATAACAAGACAAATGAGGGCATGGGTGTGAGTATTGATCTTGATTAGACCCACACCCATATCCATACTCTATTTTGAAATTTCAACATTCCTCATTAAAATAGTCTGATATTTTGAATTATCTTCAATTGTCAATAGGTCTATCACGAGATGAAGTTTATCAAGAAATGCTTTTATTTTTAATCGCTGGTTTTGACACAACATCTAATGCACTGGCTTGGTTTATTCATTTCCTGAGTAAATATCCGCGAGTGCAACAAAAAATCAAAGCAGAATTAATAGATATCTGTAATAATCAAACGTTGTCTGTGAATCAACTTGATTCTTTGACTTATTTGGATTGTGTTATCAATGAAACATTACGCTTTTTTCCACCTGTCAATGGTACCGTTCGTACGTTAACTGCTGACGATCGTCTCCCTGGAAGTGGTGTTCAGTTGTATAAAGGTGACTCAGTACTAATTCCATTTCATAATTTATCACATGATACTCGATTATGGTCTATCGACCCTAATATATTCTATCCAGAAAGATTCTTAGGCGAAGATAAAAGTCATAATCCGTATGCATTGATTCCATTCGGTAATGGTCACCGTCAATGTATAGGACAGGATTTGGCACGGTTTGAACTCAAAGTCATTGCAGCAAGAATGATGCAACAGGTCACATTTGGTGATGGTGGACCTGATGTCAACTCCGGTGGTCATGTGACAAGACTTGTCACCGCACCAAAACATGTTGGTGTTACTATCGAATTCGTCTAAATTATACTATGAATTTTCGCAAATTGTGGGTTTCAAACATTTTCCATGGCCACCACAGATAGCACGAAAAGCTTTCTATACATTCAGTTAGTTTATGATTGAACCCATAAAATGATGCATAATTCATATGTTTCTATTCATATTTATGATTTTAATAAAAAGAATAGAGATCGATAAGACACAATGATTGAGATTCGATTCAACAGTAAACAGAAACTAAGTCGATACTGAACGAGCATAAGAAGATAAATGGAGAATTCTCTCTTCAACAAAATAAAAAGAATTAATAGTTATCAGAGTATTTCGTGGAACAATTCGAACATTGAATTCAGTCTGCAGATTTTATTACTTGTGACTGCTAGAAACTCTTGTCATACAGTGATGATAAGTTGCTTGAAAGATTTTATGTTAGGTAGCTTCTCAGTAATTTTCCAAGGTTTGGAACTTATTCTTGACGAGATTAAGGTTTTGAAATCATGACTACTCTGTAACGGCATGTTCGGCTTGCTATCCTCCATAGTGATGTTGTCTATTTACTTGAAGTCTAATTGATCGATGCTGCGATCATGTACAAGTTTTGTTCATAGTGATAACACATACCATTGTAGTAGATTCACACTGATGGTTTATGCTAGTCGAAGTGTATTCATCGTCATAACATTAATTCAAGTTAAGGAGAATTTCTTTTTTAGAATCAACATTTATCACGTTCACAGGAAATGATGAGTATTATTCGTACCCTAATATCGATTGAAGAACATTGTGATATACATATGTATTCAACTTGTCCTTTATGACAAGTCAACAATGATGCATAAAAATAGTGTGATATTCATCTTGATGTCAGACGGTTGTTCCGGTAGGCCATGATGGACTAAGACTACGAATGATACATACCTCCATTTTGAGACATTCTAATTGACGAAAAAGTAAATTATGCATGTCATCAAATCAAGAGGCTTGGAGGATGGTATCGACTGCTGTGCTGATATTTCAGATTCTCTTACACAAATGTGTCATTGAAAGTCGTTTCGCTGCAGTCTATTTATTCTTAGTTTTTTTTATCGAAGAAAGTGGTACATGAGCAATATTACGAGCATGAGAAATAACAACATGATAATTATTTTTGTTTAGTGACTACTTAAAATGATTCTTGCAGGCGACCTTTGTACAATATATTTAGTTGCTGTTGATATACGTGCCGACTCGACAGTAGTATCAAATTCGAAATCTGGATTCAGATAAAATTTCGCGAAACACAAGACACGAATAGCTGACTCTCTTAATATCTTATCAATATCTGAATTCAAGTTTCAGATTTAACACTACTGACAAATCCATTACTGTTTTCGTTTAGTGTCAATTTTCAATTCAAGATAAAGTAACTTGATTGTTGTACATTTGTTATTTAGTATAGACAAAGAAGAAATTGCATTTGAATATATGTAAAATAAACTCGATTCTCACAAAAGTTACTGTTCATCGGCAACATTGGGGAGCAAATATTTGTTTCGATACAATTATTCGAGATAAGAAATCATATTAATCGAAGAGTATGTAGTTTACAGAATCAAGAAAAGTATACAATATTCAAATGAAAACTATCAAAAATAAAGTAGAAGAAAAGCCACTACTTAGAAGCAATTTTATTTACAAAACATTCCTTTTTTAATAAGTTGTAGACGATGGAAAAAAATGATATGCATTCAATTGAAATTCTGTTCCGAAACGTTTCACTGATGGCTATCTGTAAAGAAATGAATACAATGCTTGTGATGTTTGCAGACAAACAAAAACAGATAAAATCCAGTACAATTAATTGAAATGTTTCTTTCTTCAGTCCTCTGATTTGCGATCGTATGTATTTACTGATAAGCAAGCCAATGAATAAGTTGTATAGTAAAGCATCAGTGAAAATCTGTTAAACGTTTAATTAATCGGAGCGAACATGACACTCAACCAAGCTGCTGAGAAAAAGTCAGCTAATGTTTAATTACATGTTGGTTTATTTCTAACAATAATTAAAAAACCAGTGTAGGGATCCTTCTATTTGTCATCTTCAACAAGAGATTTACCTCTGTGTATATACACACATCTTATCATTGTCATAAAATAAAACGAAAAAAAAAATATATTTAGAGAACAAAAAGAAAAGCAATCAGTTTAACATATACACGTCATAGACGCAAATGAGTATAGTCTTCCAAGCTAAATAATGTTGAAAGACTTCTCTGGTTGTATTATCAAGATGAATCGTATCAATGTATACTTGATTAAGTAAAGCTGAATAAATGTATTTGTTATTCGACCTATCGAAGTCGACATTTACGACCTTTGCAACTATTGCACTGAATGGTCATAAACGAGGGCTGTATCTCGCATAATTTCATTGAAGAGCGTTGTTTATTATCGTAGACTTTCACCTGGACATGTCTTCAGATACGAAATCAACAGATTTATTTTGACATTTATTGTTACGATAAAAATTTACAACATAGGCCTACTCCTATTAAAAAAAAAGTTTTTGCATTTATGTATTTTTCCAGTTCTGTTCGATATTGACTAGGTAGAATGCATGTGCTTCGTCTTGTCCTTTTTTTATTGGCATCACTCGTCAACAACATAGGTATTATATCTTGTCAACAAAAAGCTTGTCTTCACTGAAAAAAATTCAATAATTTGTTTACTGTAGAGACGGCCAATTTAAATCCGCAACTACGCTACGAAGCGTGTATTCCAACTGTTGATTGTTCACTATTCCAGTCGGATCTTGATGTGATCAAGCTGCTGCCTTTTACCTGGTCTTCTGAACATTCACAATATACAACCGATGCTAACCAGCACGTAATCGCCTTGTCCATAGTACATGAAAATAAAATTCCATTGATCGTCTATTGTTTGAGAAATTTAAAGGTGTTAAATGTCTACGAGAGTAATCTTAATCGCTTGCTTTCTGAAATACGCCTTCTCTCGAATCTTGAATCCATTATCTTATCTGCCAATTCTAATTTCACACATGTAGCAGATGAAATCGGAGAACTCAGTCAGTTAATTGAATTTAAGATTGAAAAGAGCAGAAAACTGACACATATACCTGCCGAAATCGGCAAGCTTATTAACCTCAAACGTTTGAGCATCATCTATTGTAGTCTAGACGATGTTCCAAGCTCAATAGACAACCTTCAACATTTAGAATCATTAGACTTGACTGGCAACCGTCTTACTGGATTACCACATAATCTACAAGGACTGATTTCGGTACGTTCACTGATACTTGACTACAATCCTCGCATGTTATCATGGCTAGCAATAACAACACTTCCCAATCTGCGTCATTTAGAGATGAGAGGCTGTGGATTGGAAGAAATTCCATCCGTGGTTACCGACATGACCGCGTTAGAAAGCATTGGTCTCGGTCACAATGCACTTACGTCTATTCCATACAATATCAAGAAATTGATGAACCTAAATACGCTTTCACTATATAATAACCGATTCACAAGCATACCCAAAGAACTGGCACTACTACGAAATCTTACAAGCTTGGATATGGAGGGTAACCATCTCGCTGATATAAATACTGTTGGCTCATTAGGGCAAATTCGGTTTCTTGCTTTTTCTCAAAATCACATTACATCTATTACAGCTGACATAATAAAACTCAACAAGACACTTGCGTATTTGTACTTAGATGGCAACAAATTAAGTAGTGTGCCGAAGGAACTGGCACATTTAAGTCAACTCAAATACTTGGGAATACGAAATAATGAGTTTTCAAACACTACACTCGACTCAATCAAAGATATGTTTGCTAATAACACTTGGACATGGGTTTACTACTGAAGCATAAAACAATAAACTCTAAAATTCTGTCATTCTTGATAAGGGGTGTGTGAGTGTGGGTGTGGCTATCGATGAAGAAAAGACCGACATTCGCACCCACACCTAAATATATTCTAATATTAGTAAATATTTCCAGGAAAACAAAAAATCAAAAAAATGCGCCTAGATGCAGCTCAGATGAAACATTTCTTACGTTCTGCATGCCTAAACTAATCGGTTCCCAGGGCATCTGAGTGTGGTTATGTATAGAATGAATGCGGCTGAGTACGGTTTTTAAGAATTTCTCAAACGTATCGTAACGTGTTTTGTGCATTGACTACGTTCAAATTCGATTCAGGTCTTTATTTTAATCGCGTTCATACATAGTTCAATTTCTAATCATTTCGACGCAAGAAGCGTTTCATCTAAGCTACGTTCAGACATGTTTATATCAGAAAAGCATTTACATGGGTTTTATTACTCAAAATGAAAACGCACCTACAAAGTTCGTTTTCTTCATAGTCAAAGTTACAATAATCACGCGCAAGATCTATTCTAAACTGAGGGTGGGGTGTGGGTGCGAAGATGGGTTGGGTTAGTTGCTGTGGATGGGGAGTGGCTGTTGGTGTTGGCGATGTATGGATGTTATGCTCAACCAAACCAAGACTTACAGCCACACGGACACCCACACTCGCACTTTCCTACACCCAGATTCGTACTCACAACCACACCGGCCACTCACAGCTACGTCCATATGTCAGACCTACGTTCGCAACGGTGACGATACCTGTACGTATGGTCACCGATTCAAACTGGTTTTCGGGAAGAAAAGGGTTTTTCTAGTGAATAACAGTATTTTACATTTGTTGACAGAAATAGGTCGAGTCCGACGACTCAGAATATGTAATCAGTTTCTGGAAGTTTTGATTTGAATTTTAAGGATCTAAGAAAGGATTTTCTGCGAAAATAAGGATATGATACAAAGGTTGACCAAAGTAAAACGAGATCGAAGAATCCGAATGCACACTTTGCTTTTCGAAGTTTTGAGTTCGATTTTTCGCAGTTGATTCTTTTCTGAAAAAAAATTGTTTTTCTCTAGAAAAATAGCTATGTGCGAAAAGCAAAATTGTTTTTAAAAAAAGGTCTTCTGTGACTAGAAGAACTTGAAATTTTAAGAA